TTCTGGGTGAACCAAAAAAGTGCACATGCATGTGTGTGAGGAAAGAAACACTAAAGGCAACTGAACTAAATGAAAAAAACTGGCCTTCAAGGGCAGCTTTTTAACGTACCAGAAATCTCATGTGCATGAACCATTTCAAGTTTCAAGTCGATTTTCTGATGAAATTCTTAAATATCATCATGTGCAGCTTTCCTCCCTATGTTTCCAATCATTCGCAGTCCCTATATTATGCCATTCATCTTCTCTTTCGACAGCAGGATTTCTCATGCCTGATGGCTTTCCATATCCATGCATCCATCCATCCATACTACATTAGAATACACTAAGACGATTCATGGTAGGTGCAGCCTCTGGCCTGCACACTTCTGTTCCCTTTCAAGTACATAGGCTGGGTAGCCCCTAGGCCTACATGCCTTTCCTTTTCCGGATCATAGGCTTGGTAGCTGATAAGCCTACGAGCCTTTTCCTTTCCATGTTATAGGCAAGGCGCGTTTCGTGATTCCTCCATGCGACTGATTTTGCTTTCAAGCCTGTGCCTTTGCAGGACCTAAGTTGGTTGGGGTGTGCTAAACAGCTTAACAATATGTGATGTGATGCGCCCACATAAGAGAAGCGGCGAGGCTGCGTAGGTCTGGACTGACCAATGAGTAAATTGAAGATGTCAATGATGAGAGGAGAGGTGCATTAATTGCAGAGCAACATCACCGACAATTGCGACGCACCACTCGTCGCGCACATGCGCCGCTTAGAAATTGGGATGAGCTCAACGCAACCAATCCCGCAAGTTGCAGTAAGGTCGGCAAAGTGTATTAGCGTTCGGATACGTACAACAAAACTTTGTTGGCACTGACTGGCAATTCATTTCGAAGCTGAGGAAGGTAAAAATCGGCTAGGTTGTTGTCATGATCATGTTACAGTGTTCCATTCGAACCCATTGGAGTTTCCACTGATGGGGAAGATGAAAACGCCCGCAATTTTCGTGAGTTTCATGTACAACAGCACAAACGCGTCCGCTTCCTTTCTGTGCAACAATTGTTCACATTATCGATAATGTTCCTTACCGTCTCTAAAAATCCGGTGAAGTCTACTGGGCGATCCATATGAGCTCATCGTGGGTTTACCAGGCGATTATATTGCAGATAATAAGGCGAACGAGCTGTTTGGGTACGACATGGGTTCTGCGATGCTGAAGTGAGAAGCAAACTCTCTCATTCTGTGTCTCAGGAATAAGCACTCCAGTTTTGGTCAATGAGGACGTGTCTTTCCGATTGGAAGGCGAATTGTGCTCACAGCACAGTACCAAAATTGTGAAGAAAGATTATGGTGGTGGTGACACCGATCAGCAGGCCACCTTTTCGTTTGAATTCTTCAACAATCCCAATACTTAGGGTCTCTTCCCGCACGCCCTAATCCTAAAAATTGGATATAACGTGATGGGTGTACGGAACCGCATGATTGGGAACAACCTTTGCAAGGATACTCCTATGATCGTGAGAGACCTGACTGCAAATGTCTTAATACTATGAGAGTTTAGATGCAAAAAGGGCAATGGCT